GTCTCTCTCTCTCTCTCTCTCTCTCTCTCTCTCTCTCTCTCTCTCTCTTTCTCATTCACAAATAAATTGTATGGCCATTCCCACAGCGGTAAATTTGTCTGTGGAAGCGCGTGTATCGAAAGAAATTGTTTACATTTCTTGTCTGCACTTCACAAAGAGTGAATTTAATATATACAACAAGATAGGCCTATTAAATACCCATCGCCAATAAAAATTTTAAAAAGCATTGTGGACAAATTCTCTGTTGCTGTAACCTTTTTGTACATGTATTTGGGAACGGAAGATCACATAAGGTTAAAACATCTTTTAAAATGAGTTTAAAACCTTGTTTTGATTTTGTTTCTGTTCACGACCCAAGTGAGGATGTTTTTATAAAAGGTTCCATGTACAATGTAATTAGAATAAAATGTGAAAATTATCCAACTGTTTGCTGTTTCAAACCTATTAAAAGTTATCCCTAGATTTCGTAGTCTGTAAAGAGATTATGTGCATCCCATTTATGAATGGATAAATGCGTTGCATCGTGGAGAAATCGGACGCTTGTTAAAATGAAATGTAAAACACAGTGTTTCCGCCGGTAGGGCAATTCTTCTCAACATTTTTGTTTTTACTAAAAACTCTTTACGTCCATTAAAGAGTCTATGTGAGGATTGTACTAACAACCCCCCCCCCCAAAAAAAAAACAACACAAAAAAACACCAAAAAAAACCAACAACAACCCCAAAACAAAACATAAACCGTGATCAAAATCACAAAAAAATGTAAATTTGCAGTTCTCAAGGACACTCCAGCTTTGGAAGTCACCAGATTTTGGCGGCCATTTTTCTCGCTAATTCTACGTCTGACACCGGGTATACCTACCCCATATCTTTTAATCGGGAGAAATATCAACTTTTATTCAAGATACACTTATTTCATCGAAAGCAAAACAAATTAGCACGCTTTAAGATGATACCAGTAACTTCTTATGTCCAAATATTTATGAGCACCGGATTCCACCGTGCGTGGGTGGTTGGCGGGTGCTGTGGTGTGGTTTGCTACTTCTTTCCTATCAAACATCTATCGTACTTATATATCCCCTTCTTTTTTATGTTTGTTACTCTCTTGTAACACCTCTAATCTTCTTGCGCTCATATGACCTTATGCAGTTGCAAGCACCGTAAAATATCTACTAAAACTAAAACTTCCACCGTGCCAATACACACCTTATACTCGACTTTATATCAGCACGATGTCGGTCAAAACGAAATCCAATGTTGTTACAGCGGCGTTACTTCTTTTTAAAAAATGTTTAAAATGTATAAGTGAAACACGAGCACACACGCACACACACACACACACACACACACACATACACACACACACACACACACACACACACACACATATATATGTAAAC